TAACAAGTTTTCATGTCATTTAACATGGTGACAAGTAGCTGAAGGTTGTGCTTTATTCCCTGTGCAGGTTTGCCCTGAGGTCCACAGACGGGATGGTGAATTACGAGAGGCTTGTGGAGAAGCTAGTGAGCAGGTCCCCCCTCAGCATGTTCAACCACAACTTGGAAAGTCTGAAGGCAGGGTAAGACCTGAATTAACAAGTCTGTTCAAGAACCGTTACAAAGACAAAACCAGGTCTGCAAAAAAAAAAAGAAAAGAGAAAAATTAAATCCTTTATTGAACATCTTTACAGTAAGAATTGTCTGTTGGATGCCTTCTGCATTAATGTGATTCTGCACCACGTACTGTAAAGTACCTTAAGACGTGAAACGATACAACATTAACGTGCAGAATCATGACTATAATTTAAAGATTTTTCTCTTATTTAGAAGAGATGCATTGAATATAGACCTTATTTTCAATTCAGACTGGAGTAAGACAGTGATAACTAGTAGAAAGAAAGGCATGGTTATCAATTTAATATTTACAGAATAATGAAAAGTGTTCAAACCATTAACATCACCACAGCACCGAAGTGATGTGTGTACTGATAAAGCTGGGAGACAGTACTGACAGAAATTCTTTATTCTGGTTTGGGACATTACCAGACTGACAAAGAAATTCCCTCTCAGCTGTAGAGTTCGTTCAGGAGATCTCTGAAAACCTGTCATGTAAATTAAATGTGTGGAGATATTAGCAGGGTGCCACTTCTTTTCATCCCGATTCACAATTTGGAGGTTTTGATGTTTTGTGTGCTCCTTTTTAAATAAGGATTTTGAACACAAAAAAGACAGCACTGTGATTTCGTGATATGTAATTCCACAATCCCTTCTGTGAAATGTGCTGTTAACGCTTCCCTTATTACTTTTGCTTTTTTAAATCTCATACTGTATTGGATTGAAATGGATTGCAGCTACACGCAAACCTGCATTACGCTAAAGACAAGGGGTTCCCATCTCGTCCTGAGCGTCCACACTCCATCTGGTTTTATAGCCCTGCTTCAGCCAGCGGTACCTCAGAAACTGGATAAAGCTGTTCTGCAGCTCCTATTAAGCCACTACTTAGTTGAATTCGATGAAGAATTGTGCTGGAACAGAAACCTCCGGGACCCCTGCGATCGGCCATTGAAGTTCACCAGTGCTGCAGGAGCTGAGCAGAGTCTGAAGCACGAAAGGGCAGCAGTACTGGGGCCCTGCGATTTCCTCTGGGGGCTCCGGTTTCCTCCCACAGTCCAGAGACCTGCCAGGAGGTCCATTGGCTCTGGGAGAATCGGCCCCCATGTGAGTGTGTGCCCTGTGATGGGCTGGTGCCCTTTCCAGGGTGTGCCCAGCTTCGTGCCCATCGATCGCTAGGATAGGACCCTGCTCCCCTGCTCCCCTGCCACCCTGTTTAGGGAAAAGCAGGTAGAAACTGAATGAATGAATGGAAGCAAGCAAATCTAAAAAGCGGCCTTGCCCCATGTTATTGCCTCAGGGCCTCTACAGGAATTATATTTGAAAGACTACCAGGAAACTCTAGGTACCCTGTCCTCCTGGAGAGACTGGGACCTGCTGGTGTGTGCCCCTCGGGGGTGCTCAGCTCCGCTTTCTCTGCACAGAGACTGCGGAGGCTCTCAGGAGGGGCTGACGGCATCGCAGGCTGAGACGCGGCTCCTGGAGCTCTGTCACGGGCTCCTCCTGCGGCTGACGGCGGCTCTCAGGTACACGAGATGCTGGGGTCTCCGGCGAGCCGGAAAGCTACTGCAGCACGTTGCAAGGGGCTCTGGGGGGTGGGGTGGGGTGGGGGGAGGGACAGTAAGGAAAGTGAGCGGTGGGTTTGAGCTCCTGAAATGAACCCGTGTGTGACATCGCCACTCGATTCACGCGGAGGAAGTGGAGACGCAGGAGCAGCACGTGAGCAGCTCCCTAACTGACCTCTACTGAACACTGTGGCAAAACTGCTCACCTCTAGTGCCCACTCGTCCTTCACTGTACACCTGGAGGAGCGCAAGACAAGTGGCAGACAAGAGGAGGCTTTGGTCCATCTGGCTTGGTACTTGTAGTTAATTCGTATGGGTTTCTTTTACTTTAGTTTGCTTGCACTTAACGTACCTTTTCTTTATAGTAAGTGGCCTTAGACAGGGTATCTGCAATAAAATCGATAATCATGAAGGCGTCTGCTGCAACCTTGTGGTCAGACACAAAATCGGCTTTGATTCTTCCAGCCCGACTGCCTGACCCTCTGGATTCAGGCTTTGCTATGAGGGTGTGAAAATTGATACCACAACATTTTTACAACCACAAAATGAAGTACTGATCTGGCATCTATTCCAAAGAATTAATATGCAGTATATTCATTTTGCATTACCCACTTTTCTCCAAAGAGGGTCAAAATCATCTCCTTAGTATTGATTCAGGATAGCATTTTGAAATCTCAATAAAAAATACAGTGCTGAGAAGCGTACATGTTTGTTTATTTTGACTATTTTGAAACAAAAAAACCTAAGATTCTGTGCTCTAATTCTTTTTTTTTTATCTTTTAGAAAGGCTGATCAGGTCGGAGATGGATATGTCAGGCGTGAGCATTTTAAGGAGATCCTTGAAAAGCATTTTCAGCTGCAATTGACAGAGGACCAGTTGGGCAGTGTGGTCAGTGTTATTGGGGACCCTGAGTCTAACCTCATCCCCTATAACAAATTCTTACTTCTGTTTCAAGAAAGGTATCCATTCTCTTAAATTACTGTAGCAGCTTCTTAAGGATTGCAAAGTACCGTATATGCTATTGCTTTATAGAAGCAGTTAAAATCTCTTTGGTTCTTTGTGCTTCTCCTAAGACCAAGTACCAGTGAGCTGAAGGAGGAGGTCGAGAGGCGCAGCACTCTGATTCATGTTCGCTTTGATAGACTCCGCTATAACGAGAGCTTCAGAGCCGAATGGTGCAGATTCAGCCACGCACAGAAAATGAGGCCGCTGCAGGAGGTAGGCCTGGATGCAGGGCTTTCCCTGAACTTTGACCCTTCTCTTCCGCACCACTGAAGTACTACACATACTTTCGCTGAGTTCATGAGGAATAACAGCACCCAAGAAGTGAGTTGGTTGAGTGTTAAGTCATAGTGAATTTAGCAAAATCTGCCCTATCACCCTTAGAGTGCAGATGGGCTTGGGGGACAGACAGGAGACCAGAATTAGAAGAGCGAAGGTTGCGAGGTGGGGAGTAGGGTGATGGTGGTTCATACAGGTACTGAGGTGCTGTAATCAGTAGCATAACTGTAATGGCTGGTTACATTCTTAATAATGTGCATGTTGTGCACAATATTACGGGGGCATTGAAGGTGTTAAGTGTGCAGACATGTCTCAACTGGCCCGGTTTTAGTTGTAGTCACGAATCCTCAAATTACGTAATTAAAAATTCAGCTTTGACATTTCTGACATGTTGTTCTAAATAGCTGCATATTACTGCAACTGGGAAGAAATGTAAGTTTTATTGACTCATGTTTAAGTATTATTCTATAGGAATAGCAAAACCCGAGAGTTAGGTGTACTGAGAATGTTTGAGTGCTTTATCTACAGTAAATTTGGGTTTAACCCGCTAGTCTGAGAGGGACGAGGAGGCTGGGACCCCCTGCAGAGTGAGCAGGGACCAGGGGCAGCTGTACGGGTGGAGGAGACGAACACAAAGGAGTAAAATCTCACATAGGAATATGTAGGAATAGACATCAAACATGATTACAAGTGAGGGAAGCTCAGGAGAATTGAACTTGGCTGCTGGTGTCACTCTTGAACCTTCATGGTAAACCCCATTCACCTGCTGAATGGTTTTTCCACTCGTGATTCTGTTTTTTGAGTTATTACCAGGCTGCTACTTAGGGAGATCTCACTCCTTTTGGAATTTTTTTATTCATTTTTGCTTTTTACATTTTTACAATAACTTTTTTTCCATATAATGCACATAATTTTATGCTCCCATTTAATTAACTCTGCCCAAAACGTCAGTGAAGAATTGCATAACCTGCAGAGAATGTGTTCTCCCTTTCAGCTCCTTACTCTTGTCCAGCGCCTCCTACAAGACAAGTTTCGGCTGTTCTGCAAGGTGTTCATCTCTGTGTGCAACAATGACGAGTGCACAGCAGACAAGGAGAAACTGGACAGCATACTTCAAAAGTAATACTGTCTATGGGAGTTCACAGTGACAATGGTGGATTAAAAAAATACACAAATAATATTGTGTTTTCCTTATATTTGTGACACTAGAGAAATGTTTCTACAAGCCTTTGTACGTGTTCTTTGATTCTGTGTTCACTGGTATCAGAGTTTAATGACAGCATGATGCACGTTGTTGATACAGTACACATTGTGGTCCATCCGCAGAAGACTGAGCACACGTTATGAGCAAAGTAATCCACAGGATGTGACTCCAAAGATTATGTATTCTCTGCCTGAACTGTAAGTAGCAGCAACAGCAGTGCCGTTTTAGAAAATACAGTCTCAGAATCTTTGGGACCAGCACTGCATGTGTACACCCCCCTTAAGTGGATTAAAATGGTTTAAATTGTATTGAACTACTTACGTAGCCTTCAAAACCTAGCTGAATATGCTGGTAGTTTATGATACCAGGGAACACCCAGACACCTGAAGCAAAGGAGCAGCTCCTGCCTACATTGACTAAAAGTACCAAACCTCATATGGAGCTTGATTGGTCTTGTATAGATTCAATTGGGCACACGCCCCACTGTGTATACAGGGGGATTTTAAATTGTGTGGCCATGCAAACCTACTGTACGTCACATGACTGAGGTCTACTTGCATTGCTAGTTCACAACAGCTGCTCATCCCTCTGCACACTCTTTCAGGATGAACATCATTCTCCTCCCCCTGGAGCTGGGGAAGCTCTGGTACAGCCTGCCCATCAGCTACCCTGCAGAAGCCATTTCTTTGAGGAAGTTTGTGCTGTATTTCAGCAAGATGAAAAAAATCAAGGACATGGGTGAGTGATTTTGCAACTGGTAACACTGCTGCTCCAAAAGGTATTCTGGTATTGTTAAGATCACAGATTTATAATTAGTAGTAGTCATAGAAAACTTCACTGCAGTTCTGCCTAACCGCAAAGGCAATATTACAGTAAGTGGATGTTGAAAAATTTCTTACATACATTAACATTAGCCATTGGAAAAAATCAAAACAATTAATCAAGAAGCTAAATGTAATTTAAATGAAATTAGAGAATATTCTGGATTAAATATAAATAGAAAAGCCATTGTCAGTGTAATAGAACTATACTTAACAAATTGGACAAATTAATGTGAGCCTCCTGTATTGATCTGGTGAAGGATTTTGACTGTGGTAATCTCCAAATCCAATTACAGTAATGTCTCCTTGCTAGGTGAGCTTTGAAGGTCACAAAGGGGATATGATTTACTGGACATCCTTGATTTGAATGTGGTCTTAAGTATCTAGCAATACACCTTCATTGAGCTGCATATGACACTATAAAACTTAAACATGTTTCAGCCTTTTACTCTGAAATCTATCACTGTGATAATACAGTATGCACCATCTGTCCCAGCAAAGGTCATAGGATGTCTTAGAGCCAGGCTCAGGGTTGGAACTGGGGTTTGGGTTACTGTCATTAAGAATACTTTATCTTCTGGAAAAACGGCCATAAAGAAGTATAACTGTTACAGACAGATGTGTCCCACATTGTAGAATTATCTTGTCAGATCGCAGCAGCCAAGCAAGGCTGGGCCTGGTCAGTACTGGGAGTGGAGACTTCTAAGGAAGATCAGTTAGCTGCTGTAAGTGGTGTTGGTGAAGCAGAAATGGTGCTCTTACTTCTGGACCGGAACTCTCCAAATCTATTCACCTGTCTGGCCTTGAAAAATGTCCATCTGCATTCAGCTGGTGAAGTGGTTGCTTGCCTCTCTCCCCGATCAGCTGTGATGAGGTTGCTGGTGCAGAATGGCTGTGCGTCCCTTATGTGGGTACAAGAGCTCAGCACTGGATAATGTGGGTCCCCTCCTATACTCTATATTAAGCACTGTTGGATCCTTTGACATGAAATGTTTCCTTTGGAAACATACTGAGCTGAGGTCATGAATTGAGTTAATATGGTTAAAATGAGTTGATTAAGAATCTGTATAAACAATTAGTTAATAGACATGATTGTAATTAACTCAAGAATAGCAAACCTGCTTGGTATTGACATAATTGAAACTGTCCTGTCAGGGAAAGAAGGTGCCCAGAGAATGAGATGTTCTGTTTCAGCTGTCAGCTGACTGATCCATAGATCAGAGACTACGAAACTCACTCTGACTACACCAGCCCTTGACTCTCACATCTGTCTGATCCAACAGCATCGTTGATGTCAGACAGCAGTAGCCTGTCCAGGTGAAAGCAGCAGAATGACTGTAGTGTATCACATGCATGAAGACATTGACAGCTGAGAGGTGACAGTAGAGGAAGTGAGCAGTATTTTATTCAGTGATGAATGCCATTTTGTAATCAGCAGACTCATTAGGAAACAAGATGTAAGGACATCTTTGATGAGTGTTCCCCCAGCAGCTTTGTCATTCAAGCTAATTGACAAAGTGTGGGGAATAATCTCCTTTAACACAAGAACACTTCTGGTGCAAATTAAGATTTTACTACTCAGCGGTACCACAAAGTGCTTGGATTACAATGGCATTACTTAGCAAAAAAACCAATATTGCATGTTTGTCATGGACAGATTTTGGACCTGAGTCCAACAGAATGTCTTCAGTACTATTTTACGAATGCTATCAATAGGAAGAGAACGTTTCAGAGATATGTATCCAGAGGATCATCGGGACTGTACTGCGTAGCACAATTCCTAATTCTGTATTTTTAGTTGCATTTCTGTAGTTTTATTTCCTATCTTTTAGATTTTGTCAAATGAATTTAATTTCTTGCATCAATATCTCAGTTTTTCCCAGTCCCTCATTTTAGACACAGTGGACAAAAGCATTGCTACAACACAAGTCTGTCAATAACACAGTCTTTAAATCTTAATCATGAGTGTCTGTGATGAGTACTTCATGTTGTTTTTGCCACCTATGGATACGTTTCTCTCAAGATCCTAAAGATTACAGGCCCCAGCCACGTGTGTGACACCTGTATTTGAGCTGTTTAAAGGTGTTTAATTTTAAGACAGATGTCAATTCTGGATTTGGATGTGTACGCATAGACATTTCATTTTGAGAAGTGAACCAATGAAAAACCAAACATCCCTATGCCTCATACTAAACTGAAATGTACTCATTTTTCCCCGATTAATTTTCACACAAAACTGTATTTCCACACTGCCACAAGATGGCGTACCTACTCCAGTATATGTTGTGAAGGCCGAACAGACTACTTTGAAGACTGCAGTGGCAGAGATGGTTTTTGCGCTTGATACAACGAGTACCGAGAGATGGGAGCAGCTACTTCATTTTGTGGAGAGGACCAAAGTTAGGAACTTCTTAAAACACTAGAAGTGATGACTTATTATTAGAGATGAATCAAGGAGTTGCTGCAAGTACAAGATGCAAGATGAAAATGACCCTGTAAGCGAACACTAATTCCAGTCAGGATGTCAATATCTTTTTCTGACGCTGCACCACGACAATCATCTTGATTTTTGTTTTGGAATGATTTAGAACTACATGTATGACACCTGTCTTTGAGCTGTTTTAAGATCATTTTACCAGAGATGTCTCTTCAGCTTCTGGATGTTTATGCAAATACATGATTTCATTTTGAGAAGTGCACTAATTCTGTGCCCAGCATGCTGTGAAAAAGTCAGCAAGAAGCCACAGAGATATATTCACAGTGCCTAGGGAAAAGTCTACATACCCTTTCCAGAGTTTTGCATGTATGTAGGTATAGGCCTATTCAAACAGAACACTGGTAATTCAAAGCAAAAGGTGCTTCCACTCAGTACTAACCCTGGGGGTGTACACTTGTCTGATCCATTTTTTCTAGGTTTTCATTTCTACCTTTCAGAATGTTTTAGGTTTTGTTTATCAGTTGGAGGTTGTGAGTTACAATGTATAAATAAAGGCAAATAAATTGTGATTTAATGTTTCTTGTTTTGACGTTGCTAGTATATAAAATTTTGCTACTTTAGAAAGGGTGTGTAAACTTTCTAAAGGCATCATACAGTATATACTGTACGTAGGAATGCAGAAGAGGGTGAGGTCAGGGTTTGACCTACTGGTGACCATTCGTTTAAAACTTCATTCATGTTGTGACTTCACATTGCTTAGTGATAGATTTGTTACAAGCGTGCCAAACCAGAAAAGTGACAAGACAGCGTTTAGAGGCATCTAAACTCCATAACACTTTAGTAAAGCACAGATTCCAATACGGATCGCACAGTATCCTTCAGCGTCTACTGCAGGTCTTGACGAGATTGTTACAGAACGTGCTGTTTAAGGTCCCGCCCATGTTTTTTGTATCTTTGTTCTTCCTGCCAAGGTCCCACAGAGGAGGATCCTGTGACCCTCATCCAGGGGAAGCTGAGGAGCCGGGTCGTTAAACAGTGGCGACAGATCAAAGCCATCCTGAGAGCCAGCGATCCTGGGGGCTCTGGGAAAGTAACACTGAGAGTGATCTACGCCCTGTTCTTAACTCTCAAATTCAACATTCGACCCGCAGAGATAGATCGCTTGTGTCAAGCCTTTGACCTGGACAGTGACGGACATTTTCACTATATCCCCTTTCTCAGGTTCTACATCAGCACAGATAAAGACAAACAAAATAGCAAATCAACAGCCTAGCCCTCCACTGTATGACAGCCATCCCACAATTCCAGTAAAACTTTTACCGTACTGAAGGAGTTAATGAACAATATATTTGCTATAGAGCCATTGCATCTGTTTGCTGCAGACCATTGTACAGAATTATATAACAGTTAACAATATTGTATTGTATCAACAGTAGACCATGTGGGCACAGAGGAGAGGAAAAGAAAAACCCCAGTAGCAGTAAAGAAACCTCTGGGGGCCCAGGCCTAACGATGGCCCCAGGGAAATGGTTAATGAAACCGCAAACATAATGGATCATGGATCATATTGTCTGCAAAGATCAGGGTTGGGATCCTGTTGCCCTGGAACTGCCCTCAAGGTTATCCGTTGTCATGGGTGTCTCCTGAGGGCCAGAAAGTTGACAAGGCTGTTAATAGGCCACTGCAGCTGTCCCAGTTAAACCTGGTGGGACATCGTCAGCAGAACTCTATTACCTCCTCACACAGACCAGCAATGTGCAATACTGAAATTATTATTATATATAAATTATATATTATTACACCCATAACATATTATTGCACACTCCTTTATCTTACAAGAGATTCTGGGTGTGTCTGGGCATTCATTCTCACTACTGTCATACCAATCTTAGCAGAAGGTCCTTCTTGTACACGAGCATGATATTCTGGAAAAATAATTTAGAAAATACTGATATTAATGTGATTTTTTAACTTCATGGTCATTATTATTTTCATGGATTCCAAAGAGATCTTGGCTTAGATATTCTGATCCTAAGATATTTGGGTACTGGGTTAATCAAACAGAAAGCAACAAAATGCCGAAAAGAAAGCCTCTTCTTTTTTTGCTAAAAAGATTTAAGTGTGGATTAGAATCCACTGTACGTGGTTGTTCATTTTCCATCTGATAGAAGAATAAAAGTCATTCAATATGCAGACTGCTTAAGTTTGATTTTCAAAAGCAAACACCCAGTACTTTTGATTACAACGTAATAGTTCATATTTCAACAAAACATAAAAGCAGAAAGACATGAACAAGTCAGGAACAATAACACTCCTATACCCACACAATAACAAATTCAAATTCTACAGAAATGACAAATGAAAAATATTTACAAACATTTAGTATAATAACTTTTTATAGGCTCACTCTCTGTCCCTGAAGTTACAAGAGATCACATACTGGGCTGGCAGGTGTGGGAATTCTGGGTTAGGATTTGTTATTTTGGGGAAGAATTTCACCTACAGTACAAAGGGAGTAAACAAACAAGTGAAGAAAGCTGCTTCAGGGAAAGAAATGTGTATAAACATTTAATCCTGAATAGCAATGCAGAACGCTTTTCAACCAGAAGGCTTGAATCTGTTCAGCGGCAGGGCTGCCATCTCAGAAGCTACGCAAGGGGGGGATCTGGTCAGTTCCGAGTGGGAGACCTCCAAGGAAAAGCCGGGTTGCAGCTGTAGCTGGTCCACTGCTTGGTGCCCTTTCCTCTAAACTACATTTTCAAAGCTGATGACGCAGAGTGATGACTAAAGAGATGCCGATCTTTGGATGAAATGAGGTCATGGCAGCTCAGTTATTCAAGACCCAAGCATACTATTGACACTGTTGACAAGAGCAGGAGTGTCAATCCTGCTGTCCACATTCCATTTTCCTCTGGGCTGGTACGAGCTCGTCTCCCTGCACAGGCCTCTTAATTGAACCGGTGAAGCAATTTGCCACCAATGCACTTTTTATCTGTGAATGGTCAAAGAATTTTTTTTAAAAATGCATTATGCAACACACAAAAAAACAGAACAGGAACTCAAATGGAATTAAATCTATAGTAGCAGCAGGGGAGTCACCAGGATGGCGACAGTATTTCAAAGAGCAAGATAAATTAGATGAGGAACCTTTGGATAAAAAAAGTTAATTTCAAATTGAATGTGTAATACATTGAAATACACATACCAAATACTTTTGTTGTGTGTAAACAAATTGCATCAGAATCACACACCAAAAGTGGTTGCTTTGTATGATCATCACTAGGACAAAGCAATTCCTTCTTAACTGGAAGCAGTTGAGTGACACATGAAAAGGGTAGACTACCTTAAATTGGAACATGACATTCGAAACCATGCATTTCTTGGGTAAAGCACATTGAGAATAAGTTTTACCTGTGGCGGAGACTAACAAAGGCTTAAAGTTCAATTATAAATGTGTATGTGAAGTCAACAGTGCATAGAGAAAAACAAATTGTAATTAAACATCCATAAAATATGTTAAAGTAGGGAGCTTTGTCATCATGCATAGACTACAAGGGAACAAGTAAAGGTTTATTCCTGCTGAAAGGAAAAGAAAAGACTGTTTCGGCTGTGGAGCCTTCTTCAGTTGTCAGGTGTCAGGTGTATCTTTGTAGTAGTTCAAGTGGGTAGCTGTGTAGGCTGCAAAATAACAATAGAATAAACCTATGCTGAAAAGAGAAGAAAGAAAGCACAATGTTTCGGCCATGGTGCCTTCTTCAGGTGTGAGCTATAAAATATATTATTTTTCCTGTGTCCAGTCAATGAAAAGTTGGCATTTTCTCAGCAGTTTAACATGGACCCTTACTTGTGATCCATTTGCAGTAGGATTTCAAACAGGTGAAACACATCTGTTTGCCAACACACAATCTAAAGAAATGACTGTACTCTGAATTAAGTGGTTGGGAAATGATGCACACGTAACTACACATTATCCAGGAAATCTGCATCCATCTCAGACCAATGAAGAGACACCTTTAAAACATTCTTATTATTATTTGAAAGGAGCAGAATTAGATTACTTGGACCACAGACGCAAAGGTTTTTATCTATATACAAATGTGTTTTTGTATACCAATGGAACACAGCTGAAGTAACAATAAACACTTTCTTACTTTAATCTCTGTAAGGTAAAACAGTAAGGCCTTTTGCAGATAAAAGTACAGAATCAAAGACTACAAAGTATCACTGCATGTGAAGTCTAAGTTAAAAAGAACGTTCAACATTTACTTACGCTAGGATTTTCAAGGTAATTTTTTAATAGATTATTTTTGTAAGGATTACAGCAGTCTTAAATAATTTCCATCCAGTTTTGCATATACTGTATACACACAAATCCACATATGACTTTTTGTCATTTTATTTTAGACTGTTCTACAGACAATGCAATGACTCTACTTCCTATACCATACAGAACAGTTCTTATGAGGTAATCTTTGAAAATATGACCCAAAGCTTTATTTGAATAATAAAATATGAAATTGTTCTTTAAATCTATACAAAATACCCCATTTTGTGAAAGACTTAAGCTACAAAAATAGCTTTTCTCTCACAAAAACCTGAACAGCTAAAGTGACATTTCTAGGCCTTAAAATGCTTTTACATCTATATAATGGACAAAATATTTTGTAACCAAATTTTATTTTTGAGATGACAGTAGTGCCATGGTTCAAGACATATCTGTATATTATAGAGACAATTTGCACTAAACATTAAGTTTTAAGGGAAAAGCCCACTCATTAGCAGGACTAATTTTCTAATCATCAGGCTACATAAAATACATATTGCTATTTACTGTTATAACATAACCTTCAGTCCAAAACCTTTCAACACTGGTAAACCAAAATTGAAGAAACTGATCAATCTGTTCAATTCAACAAATTAAACCTCTTTTGTGGCCTTTCAAATATGGAATTTAAAACTACAAAAATAATTTAGACTGTGTTTGATTTATTTTTGGCTTCTTCAGAGCCTCTCGTTATGGATGGTACACCATATGAATTATGAAAATTAAATAAAATTACATACCTGCAGCACCCTGGTTCAAAAGAAAACAAAATAAACAACGGAGATTGATACTATTACCATATCACTGGCATACAGTTGCTCTAGTGTATGCTTACAAACAGTTGGAATAGTATTAGTAAAAGTATCTGTGCAAATCAAGCTAGGCATATTTTGTCCCGCTATGCTGTTTCAATAATTTAGAATGTACTAGAAAATAGTAAAATCGTTTCACTAAATGTGTAGAATGATCTTTCAGAATCGAAGACGAATGCTTTGCTTTGCTATCAGAATGTGGTTTATTGTTGTGCCACACCTATGGGGAAAAGGTAAAACACCCTGTCGTCAAGCAGGGTCAGCTGAGACCTTCCCTGCTTCAACAGCACCACTTGGCATGAAACTTCAGACACCCCTAGCCAGAATATTCTTTTTCATGAACCGACGGCACATGACCAGAATCTACCCAGTCTCTTAAAAACAGAAATAAAACAGAAAATACCTTAGATTTCTCTTTCAGCAGGAAACATCAGAAAACACACATGAGCTGCTTGTCAGGATAGGATGCCCATTTTACCAAAGGAAATTGTTTCTCACAAACAATGGATCTGACCATCCTGCTCACTGTGCAAGGTAGCAGCCCTACTGTATATGACTAATGAACAGGTTTCTAAAATTTTATTCATAGCCATAAGCAGGGCTGTCCAGTCC